GGGAGGCGAGAGGGGAGAAAAAAAGCAGGGGGGTGGGGGGGGGGGTCGGGTTTCACTCACTCACACTGGGGGTTTAAATATCTACCTGGGGTTAAAAATAAGGTTGTCCAAACTCAAGGCCGCTGGAAAGCAGGCCTGGTCCGGGGGACACGAATGAAAGGGGGTCCAGGGAGGGGGCAGAGCTGCCGGTTGGGGGGTGGACATGGCGGGGGGGAAAGCCTTATCAAGGGTGCTCTTTTCCCCCCACCCCCCGCTCCAAAGACGCTGTCCTTGCTCTTGAACGGGGGGAGAGGAATATTCTGAGTGGCCTCCTTTCCTTCTCTTTTGGCCATAAAAACTTCTCGGGGCAGATGGGGAGGGTCTCTCTTGCCTGGCCATAAGGGGGAGCCCACAGCCACAGGCAAGGGCACTGTGCCCCTGAAGAGGGAAGCTCCATTTGGTACCAAAAGCTGTGCCCTTTTCCTTCACGCCTAACTCTTCTGACCCGTCCCAGCCACTGGCATTGCCAGCAGACAATTCCACAGTTCTTTCTACACAGGTTTTGTGGGGAGTCCCACAAAGCACCCCAGCATTGTTCTCTATCAACCAGTCTGCAGGATTAGCTTGCACTGGGGGCGTGCGGGGAGTGGGGTTGAGTGGCTCTCTGGCCAGGGATGTGGGACTGAAGAAAATGCCCTTAAAACCAACAGCCAATCACAGGTAAACCAGCTGCCTGCATTTAAGGTGGGGGGGGGGAAATCCTTCTGACAAGTGATCTTTAATGGGGGTGGAGGGTCTAGATCCCCAGGCAGCCGATTCCCTGAGTGGGCTGCTCCTGCCTTTGCCAGGCTGTGCCCGCCAGGATCCTCTGATGCCAACAGGGACGTCACCCTCCAGCATCAGCCTGGATGCCAGGAAGCCCTCAGCTCAGCACATGCAGACTTCATGGAACACCAAGTGCCCCTGAGGAGCCCTGAAACTGGGCATTGCGCTGCAGAGTCTCCAACGCCCTGAAAAAATTAAACTGAAGCGCAGAGGTTGATGGCGCCTGGTGCCCACGTGGTGACATCAGCTCCCTCACAGATCTGTGAAATGGGGGAACAGCATCTGCCCTGTGCCCGGATCCCTCAGACGAGGAGGAGGCAGAGGCCAACGCCCTGCCCTGTTAATCTCCTGGAAGGGGCGATCCGGTTTCTTTGGCATCGGCTGCGTGCCCGTTTCTCTAACTTCAAGGAGGAGGGCTTGGGCAGGGACGGGGGGGCAGAGGGATTGACTTTCCATTCTGGGCACATCCTGCAGGCCCTGGGTGTGAAGTGGAGATGCCCAGTCTTGCAAGAGGACAAGCCTCCTGTGCACCCCACGGCAGGCCCCAATGGATGGGGAAGCCCGTGGTGTCTTTGCAAGCGGGCCCCCACCTCATTTGCTCTGCCTGTTCCCCAGGAGCAAAGCTGCTGCAGGGCCACGCGCCCGTGGCCAGGAGCAAGACACGGGAGGGCGGAAGCGAGAAGGCGGCCTCTCTGGCCGGAGCTTGCCAGGGCCTCAGTGGCCTCTTTTCCCAGGCTGAGGCTGCGCAGCACTGGTCCCCAGTCCCCTGACCTTAACAGGGGCCACCTTCCCAGCTTCTTCCCGGCAGCCAGCGGAGCCCTGGTGGGACAGCCCGGTTCCTTCCTCCCGGGAGGTCTCCTAGGATCAGCCTGCCCATGAGAAGGGACTGGGCCCCAGGGCAAGGGGGCCTCTGCCTAGGCTGCTCTCTGCCTCCCCCCCACACACAAAGGAGAGCTTCGCAGAGGCTCCTGCCGTGGCCGTGGCTCCGTCTCCTGAATCCAAGGCGATGACGTTGGCTGGCTGGAGCCCTGCCAGCAAGAGATGCTTGCAAGGGCGAAGGCGCTCAAAGGAATGACTCCCCGAGGGCCCCTCCTCGCTCACACACACTTACCTAACTGCCCCTTGTAACTCAAGAGCCCCCAGGAATCTGGCGTACAGTATCCAGGCCGCCCGCCCCTCTCTAATTTCCCTGCCATCCGCACAAGGCAGTCTTGATTTACCTCCGACTCATCTCCTCTTATTTTTAGCCTCCCGTCTTGCCCCTGGCCTCACATA